TATACCAATAGGCAATAACGTGAATTCTACACTTATTCTGTCTCACTCACAAGTCACAACATACCTAATTACTTACCGATATACTCTACTTACATAATATGTTATAACTATTAGTTGTGTAGTTATATTAATATCAAAGTACCCACGACAGTTTTGTTAAATTTCACTATTTTGGCCATAATTATTGAAATAAAATGACAAAAAAAGATTTGTATATTTGATTACTTTTTTCAAAAGTCTTAATCATTAAGAATATATTTTCAGGTTAGGTTGTGGTAATCCATTGCATCCACTTGCCCGCTTCCCTTTTCCGGGCATCACTGTTTTTTAATAYCCAAAAATGAAGGATTKACGTTGTTACCTACCTACCTATCAATGTTATCTCCGATGAATTCGATGAACACGGCCACTGTGCTGGCGTACAGAATTATAATTGACGATTTTCGTATCGACATTTCAACTGGCCATTCGGACAAGCTGTTGTAACATCTAACTGTGTTCTTCACAAACACCATTCTTCTTATTAACATCCACAGCAATCCTATCCCGTTGATGCTCAACACGATAGATGTGACGGCCGACGTTTTCTTTATAGCACCGAAAAATAGCATTGTCAAATGAGTGTATATTTGTAATCCGACGATCACAAYATATACGAAAGTGAACAAGAGCCCAAATTTTGAAATTGAGAACGACCTATTATTAGTATCGTATACAATAGGAAATGCGCCAAACCAATTGCATACCAAAAATGCAGAACTGTAAAAAAAAATAAAAATATTTAATAAAAATTATTAAGGTAAGAACTATTATTAAATGGGAATAGTATGAGTTTTGTCTATATTTCTAAAATAGATGCTGTAAAATTAGGTAAGTTTAACACTTAACTGTAAATTCATTTCTTAATCCAAACAAAACACCTGATTTTATATTATGTAAGTATAATTTATTTCAAAAAACATTAATACTGCTAGGTTGAACATAAAATAGGTAATAACTAATGAAGACATTTTCATGACTACAATAAACAGGTACGGTATGAATAATTTAAAAGCTAAAAAGTATTCTATTTCGTGAATGGTAACTATTGTCTATTGGACAAAAACATTTCTAATAACTATTAAAAACACAATTAAATCACACACAAAAAAAAATTACATAGGTACAAATTAAGTATTCTTGACTAAAATTAAATAAATAAAGTAACTTAATTTCTCGGGTTGAGTGCTTATTGTATCAAGTAAATTATTACTACAATAATTCATTTATGACTAAATAATACCTTTGCTATATACTATACATCATGACAAGGATGATATATATGTATACATACGACAGTATTTTATAACAATGAAACTACATCAATAATGCATTTACCATGACAACATAATAAAAATAACCACACCTCAATACCATAAGAAATTAAACATWAAAATTGAACAGTCTTTTAATTTTTACCCTTATCATAGTTACAAATCCCACATAACAGCCGTAATATACAGAATATGCTACTTATCAAAAGGATTCAATAAATATTATTTTAACTTTACAAATACATACAATAATAAAATGAAAATGAAAAAATCAGTTCAATTGATTTCTATTCAAGGTTGCAACACTAAGTGTTTACAACAAAAATATGTTTGTTTTAAACCATATAAACATGTTACAACCCTGAACTTATTAAWTACAATTTTTGTTACATATACGATAAACTTAATAATGTAATAGACTAGAACATTTTGAAGTAATGTACAATACACAGAATTATACTCTTACATAGCATTAATTTAAAGCCTTATAAAAGCAAAATATTCCATTTTTCTAACGAAAACCTAACTTATCAGAATTAACTACACTTGAGTGAATGTTTAGCTATTCAATAACAGATATTATACKTATATAAGCATAAAAMACAATACAATAAAAAAAAAAAATAGTATAGTAAAAATGATTAATAAATCAAGTAATGGGCAAAATAAATATAAAAGCTTTAATTTTGATTATAAAATATTAAAAATACAATATCTTATTGATTAAAAATATTAGGTATTAATGAATAATTATTGTATTTTTAACAAACTGTTAATTTAAAYGAATGATCAAATTCTTTGCTTCAATGGWCTTYGAAAAAAAAAAATAATAATATTTATACAATAATAAAATATGTCTTAATGATTACAACTAGGGCTAAGATTTGTATGCATTATATCTTACTTTTAACAATTTGATCATTTATGTCCACAAATCACTTCATATTGATATGCATAACATATTTTAATCTGCATAATTCAATTGTTATGTATATAAATGTAATATTTCAGACATAATAATTCATTAATATAAAAAATAAAAATTTATAATTATGAAATATTTAAAGTAAAAGCTATGATCACGTTAAGTTACTCTTAATTCCAATTTCATAAAATTATTGATTTTAGATTTGACAAAAAAAAAAACATACAAAATAATTTAAATTCTGTAGTATCATATATAAGAGTAACAAAAATAATTTAGATTGTATTAACAAAAAAAATTATTTAATTTGCCATGAAATAAGATATTCTCACTTAAAGATAGTTTGAAAAATGTTGCTAAATTTATTGTATAGTTTTGCATAATTTAACCAACTGGTTATCTGTCTTTTATAAACTGAATAAAAATCTTAGCTCTAGTTACAACCTTCTAAAGATAGATTTGATCATATATTGGTTACATATTWTTCAGATTACCAAAATATGTTAACAACTCATGTTAAATATTAATTTTAATGCTTATTTATAAGCTTAATTGTATATAAAATTATCAATTTCAAATGTATAGTTTAAGCAATTAAAAAAACTTATTTATATTTGTTTAAATCAAATGTTTAATTAATAAATAATAAAGTGTGACTAGGTTTTTTTTTAAATCTAATTCTTAGCATTAAACACTGACATAAATACATTAGAAAAACTACACATACCTCGTTCAAAATTGTTTCAGATTAAATTTTAACACAATTAAAAATGAAAAGTTGGGCATTAACAAAAAAAATAATAATTATACAACATAAATTCAATTTTTTTCAAAATTTGTTCATATGAATCTAATTAMTAGATGGTAATAGATAATAAAGTGCAGTTGAATAATTAACATCTTGCAAAAAGTGCAGTAAAAAATATACAAATGAAAATTAAAAATTTTTATAAATAAATAACAGAATTAAAACCATAAATTATTCATGAATTTAAATTTTTTTTTCATTCATTTTAAAGAATGGATGTTTCAAWGCAATATCTGCTGTTATTCGAGTCACTGGATTCAAACATAACAATTTTTTTAAGAGATCATACGCAGGATAAGGAAAATCATCTGCAACGTTTAAATAACAGCTACAACTATCTGAAAAAACTTCACAGCCGGATAGTTGTATTGGTTTTGTACAAAAATTACAGGTTTCCAAACCATCACTTGAAGAAACAGCAGTTGGATTTAAGGTCTGTACATTTGATCGGTGGCATAAAAGACGACAAATTGCCCGAAGATCAAGAGGAGGTTTTTGAACTTCACAAATGACATTGCGACCTGATGTAAAAATTAATGATTGGATAATTTAWAAAAATAATAACTAATATATACTATAAATATCAACACTAACCTAACATTTTGGCTAGATTTTTAATTGCCCTATCCCCAAAAACAGTTATCATTTCAGCCAAGCATGTAGAATCATTCTCTGCACTAAAGAAAGGGAAACACCGACTCATAGCTTCCAACATAATGACTCCAACTGACCAGATATCAATAGCTATAAACATATCAAATTGTCAAACAATTGTTTTAAATCTTATGCACAAATAAATATTGGATYTTAAGTTAATTATATTAACTTTTTTCACCACTCACCAGTATTTTGATATTTGTATTTTAAAAGTACTTCAGGAGCTCGAAACCCAGGTGTTCCTGCTCGAGGAGCTTTCATTTCTGGTCTTTTAATGCAAACATTACAAACCTTTAATTTTCCTACGCAATCACATGTAAGGCGTTGCACTTTAGGAACAGCAAAACTATGTTTCTCCTATTCATAAAAATACAATACACGAATTTAACAAAAAATAAATACACATTACACTTAAGAGTTATCTGAGTTAGCAATATACTAACATGGAATAAACTATTCATGGTATTTGGATTACTAGGAGTATTATTCTTAGGAACATCTAGTTGTTTTTTTATGGGTGAATTTTCCTTTAATAATGGCTCTTTAGGCATCATTAGTTTGGTTCTTTTCCTTAAATTACATCCATGAGGTATAGAATTGGTGTCATCTGCTATGTTTTGAAGGATACGTTTTTGATATGAACTTAATCGTATGGTTCCTACTGAACTAGATCGTTTATGGTTAACCTAAAACAAATAGATTTTTCAAATATTAGTTTAAATAGCATTGTAGTTGGTATATAATTAACACCAATATAAWAAATGCCTTACCTTAAGGTCACAGCTTGAACTTTTTTGTTTGTATGATGATGAATCACAATTATCATCAAGTAAATTTTTTATTTCCTTACGTCTAGTAGGGTTAATATTAGGATGAGCAAGTCCAAAATCAGTGAGCATGAAACTAGAAAATTCAAAGTCACAATCATAAATGTTATTAAGCTGCAAAACTATAAACAAGAAATAACAAGTAATGTTACTACTTACGTTGAAGTTGAACGGTTATATAAAAAATTGCTAGGCTTAACATCTCTGTGAACAATATTAAAAGAATGTATCCTTTTTAATGCAATTAACAGGTTTTTAATGTAAAGTCGCACCTCGTTAGCATCCATTGTACATAGATAGGACTGAAAAATCACAAATATTAATTTGGCCATAAATAAAGTATGAAATGTTTAAATATTATTAGGATTTTGCTTAATTTTATTTAACATTAATGCATGCACATATATAGTATAATATTATAATCTATAAAACTAATTAATTACCAATGGATGGTCGTGCTTGATATAAGGCATTACCAAGCAAACAGAACTTCCAATTCGTAATGAGGTTACTAATCCCATAACATTATCTTGGCCACTAAAAATAAATTGAAAACTTATTAATGTTATAAACTTAGAAAAATATATATCATAATTAATATAAATACAAAAAYATTWAGTTTGCTCAATAATTTAATTGAAATGTAAAATTAACATATATGGTCAAAGGTCAGATGGATTTTAATTTWACTCTTTATCAGGTCATGTGAGTATAAATTAACATAATATCTAAATGAAAATCATAACTCAAGTGGCAGTGATTTACTGCGATAGAAACGTTTTTATTATGTCTCTAATCTACTAGTCATAACAATCAATAAGTATTTAGTTTCAAATAGATTGCTATGACTGTATAATTTTAAAGAAATATTACTCTTTTCTCACCCGATCTTTAGTAGACAAAAAATTTCGCGGCGTAACTTCTCTGGGTGTGTAGTTTGCTTTATATGCTTGATGGCATACCGCTTCTTCTCGGCATCGCCTCTGGCATAGGCTAAATACACCTTGCTGAACGTGCCGGCACCAATTTTGCTTTGGATGACAAACGTCTCGCGCAACTTCCTGAATGACTCATCCTTCATTGGGATGTCTGCAAACGACGAAAATTAAAAAACGTTTTCGTACGACTACATAAAACAACACTGTACGTYGTCTCTACCCACTTTTTTCGGACGTTTGGCCGGCAAAACTCTTGTTGTTACTGCTGCTGGTCACAAGTGTATCTAAATTCTCTGCCATCATAATACTGACGGATGTGGATGTATGAGAGGGAGCGCGAAATATGTGAGCGTGTGTAAGCACTAAGCACGACTGATCTCAGTGATCACTACAGGGAARGAGAAAACGGTACCAAGTATTAGATTGGACACGAAATTCCAACGATGGTGTGTTTAGAGCGCGAAAAATACCGTCCCAGTACAAGACTGATAAAAATCCGAGTTTTGGCTCCGAAAAAATATCGTCGAAAAGGCGGCCAGGAAAATGTATGGTTAACTCGCGGTGTTGTTATTGTTTACACCGGGAAACAGTGCGGCCACGAGCGCACGATTAAAATATTTAATGTACTTACTTCTGCCACCAGAAGGCGCACCGCCCAGGGAGTTATGCACTTA